CGCCTGCCTCTGCCTCCCAAGTGCTGGGACTACAGGTGTGTACCACCACACTAGGCTCCCTCTCATTTTTTTAAAGACAGGGTCTCACTACATAGTCCTGGCTGGCCTAGAACTGGCTATGGAGACCAGTCTGGCCTTAAACTCAGAGATCCACCTGTCTCTTCCTGCAGGTGTATGCCACTAGACCTGGCTTTTTTTTTTTTTTTTTTGAGACAGAGTCTCACTATGTAGCCCAGGCTGGTCTTAAATTCATAATCTTTCTACATCTGCCTTTCAAGTTCTGAGATTACAGCTGTGTACCAGTATACCCAGCACTGACAGTCTATTTTCTTTGCAATACCAGCTACCACCCTCTTCCCCCTTGGCTTGTCCTCCTCACTAAATCCCTCAATCCTACTCATCAGTGACTGGTCAAAAGTCAAACTCTCAGTCATACAATAACAGGCATCATTTACTGTATCTCTATTCTGTTTTTCTGTTTTTTTTGTCTTTTTGAGACAGGGTCTCCCTGTGGCCCCAGCTGGCCTGGAACTCACTATATAGACCAGGCTGGCCTCAAACTCACAGAGATCTGCCTGCCTCTGCCTCCCAAGTGCTGGAACTAAAGGTGTGCGCTACCATGCCTGACTGTGTCTCCATTCTGTGATGGGCACAGAACCTCAAAGACCCAGGAGATAGAATAATGTCCTTAAATTCACATTGTTTACTAGAGGCAAATTCAAGACTCAAATCAGATGTCCCAATATTCTTTCCAAGATAATTTCTATTACTTTACATTTAATGACCGGATTGTTACCCTGGGAGAACCCAGGCCTCCTGGCTCCCAACTCACCAGTGTGCAGGGCAGTTCATGGGCTTGAGAGCAAGTGTGTCTTTGGAGTTCCTGGCAGCGTGGCCACTCTGGGAGCTGTCAGTCTCTCTAGTACCGGGGGGCTTCAGGGAAAACATGTCCTCCCTATAATGCTCCCAGTGCCCTGACTGTTGCCAGAGTTTTGTTGAAAACAGTGTGGGAGTTTTCACCTCTGAGAAACCACGGCGAGTGTACTCAGCCTACAAAGGTGGGTAGACATGGAAAGTCAATGTAACTAGAAGAGGCAAGGAAACAACTTCCTGATCCTCTTGACTCTCAGACCACAATGACCAAAGCTACAGGCTATTAAATACCATGTAGATTCTCTAAGCTTCCTCACCACAGACCATATAATGGTAGTACCTCACTAAAAGTTACAGGATTATGGTGGTACATGCCTTTAATCCCAGCACTTGGGAGGCAGAGGCAGGTGGATCTCTATGAGATCCAGGCCAGCCTGGTCTACATAGTAAGTCAAAAAGACAAAAAGAAAACCCCAAAACATTACCAGGATTTTACACCGTTTATGCTCCAATCCCCATTTACCCCCCTCCCCTGTTTTCCCCTTTGAGACAGGGTCTTGCTATTGTAGCCCAGGCTGGACTCAAACTCATGATTTTTCTGCCTTAGCCTCTTAAGCACTAGGATTACAGGCATGACTTAAATGGTAATAGTTTGGTTTATTCTAGGCTCTCAGCTCTTTTTGGACTTAGGTCCTCCTTACCCTGATGAAAGCCACCAGGGCATTATACACTCTTGTCCCTCGTGGCAGGAAAAAGCAGCTCCCTGGGCTTAGTTCATGGAAGAAGAAGAGCTCCTGTTCCTAGGGAAAGAATGGCAATAGTCACTTCAAGAAGGGGAGAATTTTGGAACTAAAGAAACAGTGCTAGGGGGCTGGAGAGATGCCTCAGCAGTTAAGAACACTGGTTGTTCTTGAGGAAGACCTGGGTTTGAATCCCAGGACCCACATGGCAGCTAACAACTGTCAGTAACTCCAGTCCCAGGGGAACCAACAGCCTCTTCTGACCCCCATGGGTATTGCACCACATGGGTGCACTTACCCACGTGCAGGCAATACACTCATACACATAAAATAAAAATAAATTAAAAAAAAAAAAAAGGAAACACTGATGGAACTGCTCACTCTGTTTGACTGAACAAACTCACAATCATGTTCTTTGGCCGGATGTGCATACCTATAATTCCAGTACTTGGGAGGCAGAGGCAGGACCATGAATTCAAGGTCATTATTGGCTATATCTTGAGGCCAGCATGGACTACATGAGACCCTGGCTCAATCAATCAAAATTAAGGGGCTGGAGAGATGGTTAAGAGCATTGGTTGTTCTTCCATAGGACCTGGGTTCAGTCCTTAGCAGCCACATGGCAGTTAACAACTGTCTATAACTCCAGTTCCAGGGGATCTGATACCCTCTTCTGCCCTCCTTGGGCATTGCATGACATGGGTGCAATTATGCAGGCAAAACACTCATACACATAAAAATGAATGTGTTAGAATTTTTTTAAAATTTTATTTATTATTTTTATTTTATGTGTATTGCCTGCGTGTATGTGAATGCACCCGTGTCATGCAATGCCACGGAGATCAGAAGAGGGCTTTGGATTCCCCCTGGAACTGGAGTTAAGGACGGTTTGTAGCCACCATGTGGGTGCTGGGAATCGAACCTGGGTCCTCTACAAGAGCAGTCAGTAGTCTTGACTACTGAGCCATCTCTCTGGCCCCAATAAAATGAATGAGTTAGAATTAAAAAAAAAAAACCAAAATAAAACTAAAATTGAGGGCTGGAGAGATGACTCAGTGGTTAAGAATACTGGCTGTTCTTGTAGAAGACCCGGGTTCGAATCCCAGTACCCACATGGCAGCTAACAACTGTCTGTAACTCCAGTTCCAGGGGATCTGACAGCCTCTTCTGTCCTCCTCAGGCATTGCCTGACATGGCTGCACTTACCTACATGCAGGCAATACATGCATACACGTAAAATAAAATAAATAAATAAAAATAAAAAAAAAATAAACACTAAAGTTGAAACAAAAAAGGTAACAACTACCACCAACAAAAATTACCACATCATGAGCTGGGTGTGGTGGTGCATGCTTTTAATCCCAGCATTGGGGGAGGCACAGGCAGGTGGATCTCTGTGAGTTCAAGAATAGCCTGGTCTATACTGAGAGTTCCAAGCCAGCTGGGGGTATAGGGAGACTCTGTCTCAAAAAAGACCAAAAAAAAAAAAAAAAAAAAAAAAAAATTACATCACTTTGCTTTATCTCTTTTCAACCCATATCAGCATCCTTCCCTCTCTTCCCAAACTCTGTACCTTCCCAATGCGTCTGTGGTCTCTTGACTCTGCTTCCTCCTTCTGTGCTTCCCAGTTCCTTAGTAACTCTGGTGTAGGGAAGGAAATTCCTGATACTCTTTGCAGTATCTCTGGAGCCTCTGAGGACTTCCACAAGGATGATGAGTTCTAGGAGAGGGCAGAAGGAATCAAAGGGAAGATGAAGAGGACTGAAGGTACCTGACCTTTCTTTCAAGCCTCATATGACAGTCTCAGTGTAAGTATCACAGAAAACCCCCTTGAGGATCATCAAATCTCTCATTACTTTTCCTTCCATCATTACCAGTAGGACGGTACCATCATCCTTTGGACTACCTTGAAAATGTCCCCTCTACATCCTGGTTAGGCCTAATCTTGCCCACCTACTTCTTTCTCTCTCCATTCTCACTGCCCTACCAGCACCCTTATACTTAGTTCCTTCTAACTGATGACTGCTTAGGAGAGTAACTAAATTATGGCCAAATGTCAGTTTATCCATCCCTTATCAACATCCCATACAGCTGTTAGAAAAGTCAACCTTCCACGAGGTGTGGTGGCACATGCCTTTATTCCCAGCACTTGGGAGGCAAGAGGCAGTGACCTCTGACTTCAAGACCAGCCTGGTTTACACAGTGAGTGAGTTCCAGGCCAGCTAGGGCAACAGGGAGACCTTGTCTCAAAAAGACCAAAAAATAAAAATAAAAATAAATCCTATTCCTAGCCACATGAAATTCAAGTCTCTGCTTGCTTTTTTCTTTATGAGCTATGAGAGCAGAGAAGGGACTAGAAGAGAATCATTTTCCCATTCTCCAGCTCCCTCCTGTGAAAACCCTTGCAACTGACCGTTAGCAGCTTCAGTCCTCCAATCTGTCCAGTGTGCCGAAGATGGGGACCCCGGCAAAGATCAACCAACATGCCACACCTGAGAGAAAGATGAGGCCAGTTGGAGGTTTCCAGACTTGTGAGTATCTAGTTTTCTCCCTTCAAGGCCTCTGCTGATAGAAGAGGTGAAGAAGAGCGAACTGTTTTGGAAGCAGACAGAGCAATGGCAGATAAAAGTTCCTCTTCCTTTTTCTTTTTCTGTACAAAATATAATTAATCTACCATCTTCCTTTCTTTATTCCATTTCTGGCCTCCCTCTGTTTTCTGTCATCTTGACAAGGCTCACCCATAAACTGTTGCTGTTGGACCTGTCACTTTCTCCTCAATCAGGTGAAGCTTGAAGTGGTTATCCTGGAAGAGTGAAGACACAAAGATGTCTTGAGAGAACAACAAGCCTTGATCTTTGTCATAAAACTGTGCCGACTCACCTTGAAGAGCTGGCGAAGCTGATCTTGGGAAGCCTCTAGCCTCCGGAATGGTTGTGTAGCAGCTATAATCTCGTGGCAAATCCGCTCTAAAACAGGCATTTCTGAACTGCGGATTGTCCTGGAAAAAGGTGTTGTTTGGCTTGCTTCTTCTAAGAGGCAATAGCTGAGTGACATACATTAGCTAGGATATAAAGTCCCACCTTTTAACAAAGAAATCTAGAAATATTGGCAAAGACAAACTCAGAGGAAATATAAATAAGAAATTAGGTACATATTTTTGTGTGGTGCTGGGGATGGAACCACGCCCTTGCTCATGCTAGATGAGCACTCTACTGAGCCATATTCCCAGCCTAAGGTATAGTTTTTTTGTGTGTTTTTTTTTTTTTTTTTTTTTTTTTTTTTTAAAAAAAAAAAAAAAAAAAAAAAAAAAAATTTGTCTTTTTGAGACAGGGTCTCCCTGTAGCCCCAGCTGTCCTGGAACTCACTATGTAGACCAGGCTGGCCTTGAATTCACAGAGATCCACCTGCCTCTGCCTCCCAAGTGCTGGGATTAAAGGCGTGCACCACCATGCCTGGTGCACCTAAGGTATAGTTTTATAGCTGGAAGAAAAGTTCTATGCATGAAATTAAATGTTGAGTGCATATCACATGTGTAATCCTAGCACTTGAGAGGTTAAGGGAGGAGAATCACAAGTTCAAGGCCAGCCTGGGCCACAAAGTCTGACCCTGTCAAAAACAAAGAGCCAGGTGCGGTAGTCAGGATGTAGAGGCAGGCTCTCTGTGAGATCAAGGCCAGCCTGGTCAACATAGCAAGTTCTAGGCCAACTAGGGATACAGAGGGACCCTGTCTCAAACAACAGCAACATGACATCCAAAACAAAAACAAAACAAACACCAAAAACCCAAATTAAACCAAAACTAACCAACCAACCAAACAGCCAACCAACCACAACAACAAAAAACCCCCTCAAAAAAAGAGAAAGAGAAAATTGAGTAAAGGAAAGCCAGATGAACAAAAGTACAACAGTAACGAGAGGATGAAGCAAAATTTGAAGAATGCATGAAGGCTAGAAAAGGCAAGTTTCAAGCAGAGTTAAAAGAGAGACATGGTGCCTCTCATGGAGAGGTGACAACAGCATTACAGTTAGGTGTAGAGAACACTTCCAGATTTCTCCTCCAAACTGAACTTGTCCCCAAACCCCAGAAAAGGGCCTCAAAATCCACCCAGATCAATTTCCTTCCTTGCTCACCGCTTTTTCCCCAGGAAGACATCATGGTAAAAGCCAGATTCTGTACTTGGACCTCGGCAGAGAACAGCACCCAGGAGTTGTTCAGCCGCTGCCCCCAGAACATGGGCACTAGAGTGCCAGAATACCTGGATTCACAAGAAAAAGTTTGAGTTCATCAACTTCTTCCTTAACTCCTAAATCTTTGAACTATTTCTTAGGGAACCTGGTAGGAAACTGGTATGGTTTTCCTAAGATTGACTACTACAAAATGGAAAACCTAGATTTTGAGGGGTACTGATAAATAGTAAAAGGTTATTTAAAATATTTTATTATTTTCATTTTATGTGAGTGGGTGTATTGCTTGCATGTTATGTAAGTGCAACTGAGTCATGCAATGCCCAGAGAGGCCAGAAGAGGGGGTTGGGTCCCCAGAAACTGGAGTTATGGATGGTTGTTAGCCACCATGTGGGTGCTGGGAATTGAACCCAGGTCCTCTGCAAGAACAGTCAGCGCTCTTAACCACTGAGCCATCTCTCCTCCCCTAATACTGAAAGTTTTTCGAATTGTGTCTAAATGAAGAATAAATCAGGCCTGAGGAACCTTTTGTCTTAGGGTTAAAAATCATCAGTTCTCTGAGCTACACACATGTACATACAGACACATGCACACATATACATGTTATACATACAACACTATTCTGTTAAAATCTATGATAAATGTGAATATAGCACACATGTCTATTATGTGCTTATGTAGCTACCGCTCTGCAGGGCTGGTGATCATT